ATGGCGATGAAAAGAAAATATAAAACTCATGGTCACTTGATATTATCTCCAAATTCCACTAACGAAACCATTGGCTTAAACACATGAAGTTTCCTTAACCAATTATAGCTCAAAGAAACCAAACAAATACTTGATTTTATCTATTAAAATGGTTTGAGGTACAAAACAAGTGGAAATATTTGTCTAACTTGTTTACAAATAAATTTGGAGCATGGAGTAATTGAAAATCTGCACTAGGTTTGCCTCCAAAATAGTTTAGGAGGCTAAAACAACAAAAAAATTGCACATGTCTTACTTCCCAATGCTGTTTTGAGCCTAAATAAATAGAAATCTGCATATAGTTTGTTCCCAACACAATTTAAAGACCCAAAACAGTAGAATTCTGCACATATCTCATTCATACAGCAATCCGGAAGCTAAAAACATTGAAAAACTGCATGTATATTTTTACCAAAATAGTTCGGGGCATCGAAATAGCAAGAATCTGCACGTATCTCGCTTCTATCACAATTTGGAAGCCAAAAACTGCACTTGTTTCTTTCCAACAGCAATTTAGAAGTCAAAACAGTAAAAATTCTACATTCTTTTCCAACCCAACCAGTGAGAAAAGATAATATTCGACATGACACCAAGTTTTCATAATAAAAGAAGGCATATGCTTAAGAAAAAGTAAAGAGAAAGGGTTGCTTAGGGTCTATAACTACTCATCACAAATAAACTCTTAAATGTGTAAGCCTCTCATTTCTTTGCAAGGTTCTGAAAGAGAATCACGCAAGGCAAGAAACATGTGATCAAACTTGAGGTGGGAGACTTCTATGTCTAACAACACACTACTATAACAATAAAGAAAAAGGTTGGAAGTTTGATTACACTAGCATGAGAAGGATAGATCTTAGTCCTACACAATATCATGTTCAAGCATGTTCTGAGATTTTTAAGCTACTTTCAAAATATTGCGTCATTCCCATGAGAAACAAGGCAATACCAAAGCATTTGTACACGATGATGATTAACATTCACCATCAACTCATACTTTTAAATTTTAGCATTTGACCCTCATATGATGGTAGTTCCAACTTGCAATAGCAATAAGAGTTCTCATATGCTTTCTCTAATAAAATCACTGATTTTTTTTTTGTAAAATACTTGCCATGAAAAAGAAATTTTTTTTAAATCATACATCTATCTCTTGGGAAGAGTTTAATGTGAAGATCTTGTTCACCACAAATGATATCTCCATATAAAAGAAACAGCGTGAAGAGCAGACTTCATGAATGACACATTTGGAGTACAAATCAAGATATGCTTCATACACAAACAAGAGCAAATTTCATTTTAAACCCAAGCATCACCATTCTCCCTCAATAGCATTTTACCAAACATCTTGGGTGCAACATACTTGTAAAATTGTATAAAATAAACTAATATGAGAATCAAGCTTTTAACTCATACAAACCTGAAAATACTATTACTAAACTATTGTAAAATAACCAAGCATATAAATCAACCATCCTTCAAACATTTTTCTCCAAGAAATAAACTCTATTGAATAGAAATTTTCTTCCATGGAAAATAAAGCAAGAAGAAAAATAGAAGTGCCATAACCCAAACCATCCCAAATGCTTTGAATCAAGAACACTTGATTCCAGAAAATTTTTATAGCCAAATACATGCAATCCGAGAAAACTTAAGATGAGAAAGCTCCCACTAGGAGCAACAAAATTTCACTTAGAAAAAGAAATGGAGCTCTCTACTGATTGTGCCAATACAGTAGAATAGTACTATACCTTTGCAAGTGCGCTTGATAAGGAAATTTGCTTAATTTCATAACTCAGTTACTTAAGCAAATGACAAACTTAAGGGATGAAATACTAATCACTAAGCATAGCTTGCGAATTAACATGCGTATTCACCTCTATTTGAGATACTGATTTTGCTCTTCTCAAGCTCATATCGAAATAAAAAAAGCACAAGATGAGAGAAACATGAAAGTGTGAAACATCATGAGGAAGAAAGTGAAGGAGAAAGAAGATCAAGAGAAGAAGAAGAAGAAGGGGAAATATACTCACCTTGCAAAGAGGCATTCGAGTCGGTCCAGACGTTGGGATCGGTCCTTGGGCTCGGCTCCGGACGGGAGTGAGGCGTCGAGTGTCTCACGAACAGAGAGGAGGCAGGAGGAGTTCTGCCTGGGTCTGCGAGTGCCGGAGATGGAAGGGCTGCGCCTAGGTTGTCGAGTCCAGTCCGATCCAAAGGAGGCGGAAGGAGGATGGGGATCACCTGGCTATGGCTCCGGCTGCCGTCGGCGGAGGTAAGGAAGGCTGGGCTTCAGCCCTTGTCCGAACCAAAAGAGGCGGAGGCAGGACTTTGGTCCACCTAGGCTCCAGACTCCTCATACACAGAGAAGAAAATGAGCGAGGGAGAGGAAAATTTCGGGAATCTGGAGAGAGATAGGGTGGAAGGGAAGTTCGACCTTGCTGGGGTCGCGTGAACAGACGGATCGGGGAGGTGTCGGGTTCGGAGAGGGAGATCGGGCGTGCGGTCCGAGAGCTGAGGAGGGAGCTCGGGGCTCCTGGCTTGTGTGAGAGAGGTGAGACCGGGAGTGGGAGTTCCGCCTGGGAGCTTCTACCGAGCCAGAGTGAGGAGAGGAAGCGAATGCTTTAGACCGAGTGAGAGAGAGAGGGCGAGAGGTCCCCCATCAGAGTCTGAGAGGGAGATCGGGATTTTGAGAGAGAACGGGAGGGGGAGAATGCCCGTGAGAATGAGACAGCCGAAGGCTTCCTCCAAGCCTTCTAACGTCTCTCCCGACGTTCTACCCTGCTCCAAAAGCTCAAAATGGCATTGTGACAATCTGCTCTTGCCTAAAGTCATTCGAATCCACTCCTTATTTGAGGACTCATGCGACTGAGAGGCGTGGCAACGACAGAGTTCGAATTTCGGGGAAATCGAAACCGTTCGATGCAACTACTAGATTTAGGAAATGATTCAAATGAAGCCAAAAGTAGATTGGAATCTATTTAGGATTAATTTGGGCTGATTTGAGTTAGGTTTGGATGAGAATCTGGTTCAAATCGGCTCGATTTAAAATCGGGCTAAGTTCGATCGATTTGATCAAACCAAATTGAACTCAAATTGAAATTGATTCGGGTCAAATTGAACTCGACGAGGAACAATCGCGTCGATCGAATGTGCTCGAGCGAAAAACAAGGTCAAGAGACACTACCCAGATATTTCGCCCTCATTTTGTGAGGACTTTATGATCTGAGTTCTGGTTTCATATAGGCGCAAGCCCTTATAGTTATTTACCCCTCCCACAATGAGAGAGAACTTTCGATTAAGGCTAGTCTTCAATCAGATACGTAGAGATACGTGTTATCTGGCATATAGTAGCAGCAT